TTCTTGGGAGTTAGGACAGGTAGTAATAAAGAAGTTTTGGAGTATATAATCATATAATGGGGTGTTGGATTTTTTTGTGGGCGGAGGTTAGCTTTTAGGATTTGTTAATAATTATATTATTATATTATAAAAATCAATTCATTTATTTATTGAACCGTAATGTCTATTTCACTTATTACGTTTTACACATAATTTCAAACTTGACAAACCACATGCCCTTGGTCACCTTTTTTATGAGATCTATCCAAAGACACCAAATTAGATATATAATTTTGACTATATGACATACTCATATTTTATTTTTTTAATTTACAGTCTTTTTGTTCTTGAGGCGGTCAAGTCATTAGGTTTCGTAACTCAGATTCACATGTGGTATATGTCATTGAAATCGTCTCACCAAGACTCTCAATTCGAGTATAAATTTGACTGTAAAAGGATAACTTTAAAAAATATCTTATTTTTACTGTTGTCGTTTGAATTTTTTATTTAATTTAAATAAAAGCTAGAATTACGATTTATTTGAAATTTATTATTAAACTCTTAGGAATTTTTTAGTGCGTTACAACATGACCCATAAAAGTTCGAACCATGTCTAACAGGATTTGATTCCTCTTTTCAGAGATGCCATTCCATTGTGGAGTCGCACAAGGCATGAGCTGGGATAATATGCCATAATCTATCAGATAGTCACGGAACTCATTACTCAAGTATTCTCCACCTCGATCAGATTAGAGTGTCTCAATACTTTTGCCAAATTGTTTCTAAACTTCATTTTCAAATTACTTGAACATGAGATACACATAGTCATATCTACTGAGCTCATTAGTAAATGTGATGATGTATGAATAGCCGCCTCCCGCAATAATATTGAGAAGCCTGCACACATGCACACATCCCTATTAATGAGTGCGAGAAGGTCACCAACTCTCTCTCTCAACATCCGGTGAAAAGTGCTTTGGTCATCTTACCTAATAAACAAGATCCATATGTGTCATGTGAATCAAGGTCAAATGACTCCAGCATTCCTGACCGATGTAGCTTGGATATGTGTTTCTCATTTATATGGCCTAACCTACAATGCCATAGCTCATAGGTATGTTTGGTTCAAATTGTTAGGTTTGTTGCTCTTGGCGGATATGTTATAGATGGTCATCTCCGAGTCAAGGACATACGACCCATTGGTCAATGGTCATGTTGGCATTAACATAGAAAATGTTTTTTTGTAAATCGAAAGAGACTTGTCTTTCGATTGAAAAAATTTCAATTGTATGGTTTAGAACTGAGGTTGAATGACCAAATTTAATTTATTGATCCTGCCGTAGTGCCCTATAAGGTTTTCATCCTTTTGACCAAAACTTAGTTAATTCCAACCTAAGGCGAGTCAAACCCTAGTTTCAGATTTCGCATCTCACCAATAGGGATGTCAATTCAACCCGAATCTGATCTTAACCAACCCGATCGACTGCTAAAATATCCAAACCTCAATTGAGAATAAAATAATTCGAATCTGACTCGAAATTTTTTACCCAAACCCGACATCGGCTTGGGTTCGGTGTGGATTTATAATTTTACCCGACCCAACCCAAACCTGAACCGGCCCGACTCAAACTCAAATATTTTATAACATGGAAGCCTATCTATGGATATAATGAGCACTCTGCATAATCTTTTGACAAAGTGCTACTATATCAAATATGCCTTTTGACGAAGCTAAAATATAGCGGTAAGTCAATAAATTTGACCGAGACTAACTCGGGTCGTCTCACAAGGATTGGCAAAAGGAAGTATTTGCTAATTGTCTTAATATTCTACTTTAAGGCAATTAATCCAGAGCAATCAAGTTCAAAGCAATAGCAGTAAACGATTAATGCAATCAATAATTTAGGAACATGTATGAATTGAACAAGTATATGGGCTAAAATAATAATTTTAGATTAAATTAGCTTCTTAATTAAATTGATCTCATATCATTAACTTATCCATTTTTTCAGGCCTCATTAATGTGTCTAAATATGGTTGGCTAGATTATTTTTCTTAACTCATAGACAAGCTAGATAAATAATCTCCAAAGATTAATTAATAAATTGGCCAGATCTATTAATTAGTGAATCTCATTTTAGACAAGTGAATCAAATTAATCAAGTTACTAACTTAATTTTAATTACTAATCTTTAGCCCATACCCTTAATTCAATTCATACCTAAGTATTAATTTAGCCACTAAAAGCCATTAATTCATAATTCAAATCAGTATAAAAGATAATTTTATTAATAAAAGAAAGTTTACAAGAAAGCTTACAGATCTTGAAGAATTGAATACAAAGCTCACAATCTTCAAATCAAGACTCTAAGATCTTTAGAAGGACTCTCAAACTCAAATAAAGGGAAAAGTGGAAGTTTTTAGAGTTGTTTTGGAGTGATTTGGAGTGATGTGGAAGCAAAAGG